AAATGTGAAATATTCCTGCTATTGAACGTCGTCTTTTGTCACCAATAGTGGTCGCGATAAGTAAATTTACTTAAAGGACCGTCATGATTCTGCAGGGATTCTTTTATAAAATGATCTGTTTTCTGTATGAAGCTTCCTAAGCTTCTATTATGAGGTGTAAAATGAATTCTGTGTAGACTACTGAACTGGACATACCATAAATCTCGACATCTATTTGTAATCTCGGCCTTCTCGAAGGGATGTAATCAGCTTCATTCTCGTCACATTTCAGCTTCGACAATTCAATTATCAAATCGTATTTTCATCTATCATCGTAGCATTCTAAGCAATAATACGAAAACAGAACAGCATAACCATTTGAAATGCCAGTTGATAACAGATAGGTTTAGGTTACATCGGTAAAACTGCCAGTACAGCACGACGAGATGTAGGCTATCTACTTGAATCGCTAGTGTAGGTAATTATCAAAGTACATGTATGCGTTAGTGATTTAGTGCAGTGTTGTTATACTAAGGTTAATAGCCATTGGTTCTAATACTTATTACACGTGTGGTTGTCACACTTATGATACCAGTTTACCTCATTTCTAATTCATGACAGGTTACATTGACCGTCTTAGTTATGATTAATCTTTAATTGCGCTCACCTTTTTAGCGTGGGTTTGTTATTTCAACAGCGGCAAGGCGTTATGTTCAGTCAGAAATCTACTATACTTTTCATGTTTTAATTAAGCTTATTGTAGGTAAAACTAAGAGATTGATATACGTCACGCTTACATTTGGTCCGATATAGGTACGGTATCAATTATCGACGTAGCAATATAGATTGAAATAATGGATATTTGAATACGATCTGGACTCGTGTTATAGTTCACTATATGTGATGGTTGTGTGTGTAATACGTATTGCTATAGTGTGGTGTTAACCTTGGGTTGTAACAATGTTGTTTGTATCAGCTGGTACCGTTCATAAACATATTTACAAGTCGGTAGATAACACTCAGTGCTGCAAAACCAGACCCTAAATTTCTTGTAAGCGTTGATGATATGATGGCAAAATTAGCAGCATTTACAAATTTGCAAAAATAGGTCAACACGGGTAGTTACTTTGACAACAGTATTGTTCGGATCCTCTGGATATCCCGTGGATATACCTCCTGTGTGAACCTAACACTGCCACCAAAGTCTAGTGAGGTAGCCATGGTAACAGGTGGGTGACCTCACTGTAACTCTGATATCTGTTTGACTAACCGGATCCCAAGTAGCACCGTGCAATCAATTTTGATGGAAGGCTTCAGTTGTCTTGGTAACAGAGAGGTAAGGACATATCAAAGTTTTGATTGGTATAAATTTCCTTCTCTGCAAGCAAACCTTTTCTACCATCATACTGCAACTTCTATCTCAACTCATCTTTTGTTCCAAGTTCTAAAAGTCTTTAACTGACATTGTTCCGAAGTGCATGGTTCTTACGTAAGGTGCTTGGGATTTCACCATCTTTCCGGAACATCCTATTGATAGCTTTATTTCCTGTTATTGGTTTCTGTTCCACTGAACATGCATGTGTCGCCCAGTTCTATTACTAGTCTATTGTCCTTTGAGCTGATTGTCTTGCGCATGGGCTGTTTGGTTTCCGTCCTAAGATAGTTGGCCTACGTATCGCCTCGTGCATTTGTTACAGTAATTTTCAGAGTTTGATACTTCATTTCATTTCCTTTTCTTTGCGATGACGAATGATAGTTGGTTGTCTGGGAAGTGTAGTTTCTGTTAGATTCTGGCCTATGCTTGGGTTGAGGCGAAGCTCGAATCCTTATTCTTCAATAGACGTGTCTGAATAACATTTACTGTTAGTCTTGTGAAAAGCTTCCTTTTCGCCAAATACTTTGGTATGGCGCACTATCAGGAAGAAATTGAAACAAATCAAACTGATAGGATTCTGACCAGCTGTATGCCTCGCTAAGTAAATTGAAATAGAACTCGTCAATAGGTTATAATGCATGGATCTTTCCACTTTTCAAACACAGTCCTCGTGAATATAAAACGTAATTATTTTTATCGCATTATTTATAAATTAGCGGTGATCAATTATCTTTGATATCACTGATTAATCTTGAGTCAAGGACAAAATTGAATTATCTGTGTAAAAGTTTAATTACGAATTTACGTGTGGTCGTGGAAATGTCGTTACTATGTAACACAATGTTACTGTTATGTACATGTATGGAATCGTACCTCCTACATTGTATAGCAGGCTTCGTTCTAACTGACTCTGGGCGGGTAATCAGTACTCCCAAAAACGTACTGGAAATTGTTTAACAAATTAAGGAAATGTGTAGCCAATAGTATTCGGAAAAAATCATTACAGACCTTACTGACAATAGGCTTTAGGTGGGCTTGTGGGCAGTGAAATGTGTCCATACTAAAGAATTGAATAATGTTATATTCGAAATGATAATGCAGTTTTATTTATGTTAATATGTTATTAATAATTTCATAATATATGAAGAAATCAATATTTTACAAACTCAATTATAAGAAATAGTATCTTCAGAGAATTGCTCTCAAAATTGCTCTGAATTAGAATGATGTGTGCGATGTCCGAAGTTACGGGCATTGTTAACGAAATGGTCACGATTCATGACTCCCGAGCTGTAGTAAAAGCGCTAGCCTGACATAAACGCGTCAATGATGCTGGAATTTCATATTTCCTGACGGACGACTTTTATATCCCTGGCGCTATATGAACATCACCAAGCTCGATCGCATGTGACACGAGATAACGTTATTGGTAAAAATTGGGTCAGTTTTCCGGATATAGCATCGCTAGCCTTTATGGTTCCACTAAAATGTTGTGTTGTCCCTTAATGACGAATACCCTTGTTTTAAAGGAATTGCTCTAGCACTGGTAATAAAGTAATCATCCGAGGTTTTTCTCGGCCTGTTTACATGTACATTAGGTGAAATGGTTTACACTTGTTCGGTATAACAAAAAAAGACAAGAAAATGAGAAATTAGAATAAAAATCCCCAAATCCGATACAATGCCTGATAAAATTGATGTTGTCAAGTCAAGTAATTACATATATAGTAACGCAAGGCTATTACACGTTATATGCTTGACATAAGTTCCATGTTAGATCATGTCGATCGTAACAGCCGTTTTGTTTTCAATTGTTAATTAACTATCCTTTTAATGCATTCGATCCAATGAAGCTAAAACGTATAATAAAAATCGCAATGGGTTATAGAAATTATGTTGGGTATAACGTTAAGTACTCACGAAGATGCAAAAGCTATCTGCATTGTGTTAGAATTTTAGTTCAGGATCGCAATGCCTGTACCAAGTTGATTAAAGACCATGCTGGCTATGCCAATACACAAGTGCATGCCAGTTTGATACCTTCCTTGAACATGCCTTGCACGTGACTTTTGCATGTGCTTTCCTAGTCAGAAGCATTTTGGTATCGCCTTAATGACGAATCTGTCAGTTAGCAATGCTTTTCCTGTCTCTGAAATAGTATGCCATGTTTTGATGATTCAATTATAAATGTTTTACTATCTGTACGTAAAACAAATTATTTTATTTTCTGTTCCACCTGATTTTGGAATAAAATTAGACAGGCTATAGGCAATCTATACAAAACGCAATAGATCATACTTTGCTGGTTATTGGCCAGCTTTACAAAACGCCACAGCTTTTTTGCGAGCTTTACAAACCACAACAGGTTTTAGGAGAGATTTACAAACCATCACAGGTGTCAGGCCTGCTTTACCAAAACACCACAATTTATAGACGAGCTTTTCAAATCACCGCAGGTTATAGACGAGCTTTTCAAATCACAACAGTTTATAGACGAGCTTTACAAATCACAACAGGTTGAATGCGATCTCTACAAAACGTCACATGCAATTATAGGCTAACTACCACAAGGCGATTTATACAATACGTTAGGCATATCCATCATGACGAACTCTAGTAACTATAGCAACTAATGTACAACTTGATGGTATGGCAGGGATCGTTTTCTTTTAAACGTCAGTGACATTTTAGTAAACAGACTGTTTCTACCTTGACGTTGTCGAGTAATTGAGAATCATGATCAATTGTCTTTTACAAGAGGGAACCAATGTACTTTGCACAAGTAAACAAATGCCTGTCGATGTTTTGTTTACATGGATGTCTCCTATAATTACAGTCTAAGTATGGCCTTTACTTACAGTAGGCTGGTCTCATCAGCATTAGGGGCCATATTTAAGGCCTTTAATAACAGTAGGCTGGTCGCATCAGCATTAGGGGGCCATAATTAAGGCCTATGCTAACAGTAGGCTGGTCGCATCAGCATAAGGGGGCCCTAATTAAGGCCTATACTTACAGTAGACTGGTCGCATCAACATTAGGGGCCATAATTAAGGCTTATAATTACAGTCAGCAGGTCTCATCGGCATTAGGGTCCTAATTAAGGCTTATACTTACAGTAGGCTGGTCTCATCAGTACTTGTTTCTTTTGTTTCTGTAATGCCTATTTGTTTTTTTACTTAAACTTAAAGAGTAATTGACAACACACAGTTACACTTGAAAACTTGTTAGTATAGAGCATATAGACATACCTCTGACACATGAATTCAACGACAAAAACAATGACAAATCTCTGTATAATGATGACTGACCATGGTCATCATTGTGATCAGATTTCTACCAATACACGCAAACTTACAGCGTAATAAACCATTGTCTGATATATGTTTGTGTGACTGTTCGACTATTAAATTAAATACACAAGTTAATGTGGAATAATACAGGTAACACACTTTCATATTGTGTATTACTTAGACATCAGCCATGATACGTACACATGTATGTATTTGCTCTTTACATGGAAAAAAATTTATATTTATACTAATTTTGTTAATTTGAAATATCTTAATTAGTGTTAAAGGCAAACAAAACATTACTGAAATCATTTAATATGTATCTCTACTAATTTCGATGTTTTTACGATTTACAGTCAGAGTGTGAGGAAGGACAGGGCTAACATGAAAAGAATGATGATGAAAAGGTGTAGCTCTATGGAATCCATGGGTGTCGTCATTGGTAACAACGGTAACCAAGACAACGCTACCGACACATCCAGCTGCCAGAAGACCACAGCGGTCGTTACCACTGTGTACGTGCCAGCGGAAAAGTGTGCCGAACTTTGACCTCATACCTTTTGTTGGTCATTGGTTGCTATAGTAACCATAAAATGTGTCCCTAGCGCACAGGGTTTGGTCAATGGCGCAAAGCACGTTTTGTAATGGTCGGTCAGGAGACGATAAAGAACATGTAGTGTGTATTTGTTGTAATCTCAGAAAGAACAGACATATTTATCGTACAGCGAGATTAACGTGCGTAGGCCTCAGACGAATGATGCGATATTCGTTAAAATTGTTGTACTAATAGGTAATGTGACGCCATTAGCATTAAATCTCAATTTCTGACAAAAAAATCGACTACATACGAAATATTCTCGTATAAACAAAATATTGTCAAAAAGAGTATTGGATAAAATTGGCCGGCCGATTTGCTGAATTCCTAGGATTTTTGTTAAGGACAGTTTCATACCATGTAAGCCTTCATTATGCATTAAATTCTCCAGTCACAAACCGAATGCCGCAAATGTTACTGTACATTTAAACTGTGTGTAATTTGTATTTATAAGCGTCTGAAAAAGCTCATTTTTTAACAAAAAACAGTGTACCCTGTTACAGTTAATACCAGCTAAGATATGTGAGAAACGTTGACAATTTCTATGATATATCTTACTTTTTCAACCGATAAACAGCTAGTTGTCACATGACCTAGCCGTCTATCACGCGACCTACATTTCAATAGGTTGCGATAAGGTACCGTGCATTTTTTTTGTTAATAATATATCGTTTGTTTGTCACTATGTGTAAACTCACTTGTTTTCTTATAACACTCCTTTTAATGAAAAGTGGTTTTTTTATTTGAAAATGTTTAAATGCAGAACAGTGATATTTTGTATATAAAGTTTACTTTTCAAAATGACTTTGCTTCTTTGATGAATGCTTTCGTAGTAGCCGGGGTAAGGTCGCAGGATCAAAGCAAGAAATACACCCATTTACAGCTTGTAAATACAGTATTTTAACCCTTCTGATGGTAAATATAACACACATTTCATAGTTAAAATATCACACGATCTAATAGTTCAATAGAAATAAAAGTTTCACATATACACGTTTAATCACTTTCCTTTGCTGTATACTACTAACATTAAAAAAAATACGTAACACATACAAAACATCTACCTCTTCTACATTATGAGTGTTATCAGATAGCACAAAGTATGTATTGCAGGTTAAATATTACCATCAACTTCTGGTAGTTCTATGATCTACACAAATAAGAAAAACTTGACAAACTTTTGCCTGCAGGATCAGCTGTAATGAATCTGCTATAATAATGATATGAAATATTTTCTAGCTTAAACGGTCACACCTGAAAATACGAAATGCGATCACTTAAAAATGAAAGTGGATTAACCAGTGTATAGACGAGTTTTGCTACAAATCACCACAGTTTATATTCCTATTTTAAAAACAAAAATACGTTTATCGTCCTCAATAATTTACTCAATCAAAATATTATATAAAGAGGTACGTCTGGTCTCTCGGCCGCATTGTCCAAACCACTAAGACAAAACCCCTGTAAAATAGTTAGGACATGGACCCATTTACACGTGACATGATACAACCTGCGGCCTTCATTACTTGTAAAAGAAAACCAGATAAAAAAAGTTCTCACGAATCAGGCGGCCACGCTCCTGGTATAAGATGAAATGCTAGGCAATCCCTTTTTGACACACTTTTTTAAAGATCGAGTATCCATATTATTTATTGATATAAGGTATAACTAGGTATAATATGTGTACATATTATTGTCTTTTATCTAACGATTTATATGAAGTGTCCTTTTTATCTACATGCTGATTAAATTAATTACAATAATCTTACACATTTTATCAGAACTTATAGAGCATTGCTGTAATCTATATTTTGGGTTACAGTTGTATTTGTATTAACCACATGATCAGGAGAGGCGCACTGATATCCGTTTTGTTACTGTTTACAGATATTATCTTTATCATTATTGTAAATAAAAGTTTTGTTGAGTTTGTTTTGATTTAACGATTTTAACATTAAAGATGTGTGCCCCTATGTAAAATTGAATTACCTCAGAAATGCGACCATTATTCTATAATGTTCCTGGCGAAGCGGTAAATACCTGATTTACTTAACGTTGGTAAGATTGACTTTTGATAATTTGAAAAATCTGAAGGTTCTATTGGAACCGTGCCAATCTTTACGGGACGTATATTCAGCTGGCGTTAAGCTTGTGAAGCTGTGAAAACATAAAGGCTACTTTCCATAAATGGTGATTTCGGAAGCCGAAATTTTGTAAACGCCATGGCCAGTTGTCGGGTTATTTACCGTTAAAGCTAAGTTGTAAATAATTATGTTAATGTATTGTGATATTTTTTCCGAATCCCTTTTTCCATTTGCAACCTTTTTCAAACAGTGACTGTCCGTTAGTGGAATCGATAATCGCTTTTCTTCCATGTATGTTGACTGTATTACGTGTCCGCTATTATTTTGGATCGTCTTTCATAAGCTGGGTATTTTAGGAGGAGAACAGTGTGACGACGCGTTGATGACGTAATATTCATACTCAAATCTATTTATTATAAAATCACAAAACTGTTTGCAAAACAATAATTGAAACATCAGAAGGTGTGTTTTGAAACAACGGAAAATGTGTTTTTCTGAAGATAGTAATTATCCAGTAATATTCAGTTGTATGTATTCAGCTTTTTGCAATATAACTTAATTATATTGGATAAATAGCTGTACAGACTGGCACTAGTTGTCATATTCAAATATTACTTAACATAATCTGTTTGTTAATGTAATTTTATGATAAATATATAAACCACAAATACCATTACTGTAAACTTGTAACTAAGGTAATGGGAATCAGGTCTCTGGTTCATGAATGTAACTTAAGTGTTTCCATCGGAAACTTGTTGAAGCGAAGGAAAGTAACAGACAAATGCCCCCACTTAAAGACTTTTCTTCAACTTTTTAATATAACAACCGCAGTGACCAGGCGATGTTTCACATCCTGAGTTCATTCACCATTACTAAAGACAAACGTATTTCTGAACACAGAAGGTTTTTAACAGGATTTTGTGGGTAAGCAACCATCCAGTCACGAACATACAGTGCCTTTTTCTTATGGAGTATATGTATAGTAAATAACCAACTAAAACACTGAAGTGTTAATTAAACCATGTTTTATCCAAGCGAACGCATCCCATAAAAAAAACAGAAAATAGCAACACTATTCCCGTTCCGTATCGGTTATGGGAATGGCTAAATATGAAACCTTTTACTTATACCCAGCTACCATTCCTAATGTATTCAACGTTACCTTGTATAAGTCGTGGGTTAGTGTTGTATGATTGATAACATTATCGTTGCATCGTAGAATGTCTTTTGTGTTTGTATATCCAGATTTCGCATTGCAATATGATGTACATTTCAAATTTATTAAATAACATCTTAACCCTCAGAATACGTCATCATTCAGTTTCCCAAACACCTATGTTTTAAAAAGTGGTAATGGTGATAAAGTGTGTGGCGTATCTGTCTTGCTGTTAGTGTTTCAATCTCACATCTCACAGGTTTGGTGGAAACACTTCAATCCTTAACACATAACATTTGAAAGGACATTGTATTTGTTTCATTATAATTCATTTTGGTTATCATATATCACGTTTTGCTGAAAATTTGATCTAAGAACAATATATTCGTTGCAGTATAGAACATCAGATCATTTCCATCGTTTCCTCAGCGCCTCATCTGATCTACATCCCCTTGCTGTTCCACATCGGTTACGTATAGTTCGTTACGTCACCTTAATGATCATTGTTTATTCAATTAGGATTGTCACTGAATTACATATGTATGTTTGTAAATCAATAAAAGTATTTAAATTACTAAATGTATTTATCTCAATGTAAGCATTTTACATCTTTGTATAAAATGTGTCCTGTTCATTTCACAATGTACAGCTTTGCATATCATGAATTGAATTCCCATTTATTTTCCTCTTGCAAAGCAAATGATATTTTCCCATCCATACCCGTTCGTTAATAAACTGTTCTAAATATTTGAGGTGGATTATTATTTTATGTTACCAATTTGATGCTTTGACTCCTGTAAGTTTTAATATAAACATATTGTCTATTTCTTCATTCATCATCCAAACATAAGAGTGGAATCGTTTTAATCATATACTATATATTTTCTCTTACGTCAAGCAAAATGATGATTGTTAACAGCGATATCATTGGAATAGAACATCAGGACGCTAGGACTTTCATTGGTCTTTCTGTAACGAAATAATTTCACATTACGATACATTTCGATTTCAAATAATCTTATCTGATCTTTAAGAGTGAGTATATTATCCAATAGATTTTTTATTCGTTGAAAATAAATTTAATTTAAACAATATTTTATTCAATATAATCAGCAATATTACAAATACAACTGTAAATATGGGATGGGAAAACAAACTTGGAGCTTATATTAATTCCTTTCCCAAAAATAAAATTTGATTGCATAAATACTCGGTGACTTTCTTGGAAAAACATATAACTGTGTATCAATCTATTTTTGGTTTCTCCACAAATTTAAGTTTTACAGTACATGATTGATTGATAGAACAATTTCACTTACAGGGAGTTCCTTGTCAGTGTTAAGTATTTTTTGTTACAGCTTACCCTGTTCAAACATATGTGATTCTTTAGTGTTTAACAGTATCCGAATGTAAATACACCTCATGTCACAGAATTTTTGGGGTTTCATTGATGCCATATATATTATGGCAGCTTTGGTTTAGTTTCTTTGCAACATAAACATGTACAACCAAATCAGTTTGCAGTTATCAAACAATTCACTTACTGTTATCGTTTATATAGACAAAAGACCGCCACCTACTAGCGATAAATTAAACATAAAACGCCCCCTGGTGGCAGTTATTCGGTTTACTCTTCCTAAGACATCATTATTGCAAAGCAAAGGAGAGAATAAAATTTTGAAAAAAATGAGCTTTTAGTCGTTGTTCTTTTCTCTATATTACACGTGTCGTCTTGTAACCCTTCAACAAGTTTAAACAGTGTACATGAGCAATCTCCTGATGAGATTATATAAAAGATTAAATGCAGCTGTATAACTATATAAAGAGCTAGTTTCTGGAGAGAAACCCTTCCTTTAAAGATGATCTGACCAGGATGCTATGCAATAGCGCAGCAGTACAGCTTGTTTGTCCTACACAAGGTAGGTGACGTCGGATTAGTCGGGCAAGAAGAATATCAGATAAAATATCCACGTAGACAAGGATCAGATTTAATCAAAGACACTTAATAATTTGCAGCACAATTTACTTTACATTTCAAGGACAAAACAGGAACCAAGGAAACCCGACCACCAAACATATACAAACGTATACACAAAACAGACACTATGTTGGCATCCCTGGATTAACCTGTATGTCATACTGGAAGTATATCAAAGTCATACATTGCTCAGTTTGAATCATTATAATGACTTAAAAAACCCAGAAAGCATATCATTGAACCCCCAGATATTATGACTGACGTAAAACAATGTATCAAGGGTAGTGACATGTTAGTTAGCGTCAATAAACTTGTATTGAACTGAAAATTAAAGCATTTAAAGATTGAATAATCAACCGTAGAGTAAAAATAAAACCAAAAATCACTATCTTCATCAATTTGTTCACATGAGGTCGCTGTTAGGGCATGGCCTACCGTAAAAACATTCCGTAGCTCCTTAACGAATCCAGGGATTTACAACATAACTTGGTTACTATGACATTTTGATATTGAATTATTGTAGTCATTTGTATTTTCCCACCAACTGACTACGTCAAGCTTTCTCTGAAACCTTTTGAAGCCCCAGACGATGTAATTGTAAACCTGATCCATAAAAAAAACAAATAATCAGTATCGAGTTTTTCCTCAATTAATTTACGTTAGAGCTAAACAAACCAGAATAGAGCCTTTTTTCCGACATTGGAGGGATGTACTGCGACTTCGTCACCCGTCTCCCCGTGATAGTATAGCTTCTGCGATAGCATTAAGCCTGGAACAAACAAATTGCACGATCGTTATCGGGAATCGTGAGACGCACTATTTCACCAACTCCAAAAAATGAATGAAACTGATGCAAGAACATCGCCTCAGACATCGTACAATGCAATTTTTTCAGAAAAAAAACCAGCACATCATTTGTCCGGAATTATCGGTAGCAGTGTATCCATTAAATCAACAAGGAGAAAAACGAGAATGAACGCGTACTATTATTTGATATGTATTACATGTTTAGCAATAATGAGCATACGAAGAAATGGAATATTTTCCTATTAGATAATGATCGCGATCATAAATCTTGCCTAAATTATCCCTCAACCCGCGTCATTCGAGACATTGTGTTTGTCTGTCAGAGAAAGACGAAGTATTCTTCGAATTGCTACACTGTATGAGGAAAGGTAGTGTATGGAGAGTGCACAATTCAAATGTCATAGCAGAAATAAACATATTTTCAAGGAAAAGATTAATAATATTTTGAGTTATATAATATCCACATTCAATTCTATCCACTTATGAGTTATACAGTGGCATGATACAAGCGTTACCCGGAAATAGAAGTAATAAGAATGATAGTTATCAGTTTGGATCATGGCTTGGTTGGGCAACAGTAAAACCTCCCGAACACTTTTCATTACGCTTTTATTTATTTTTTATAAATAAATTTATATTTTATATACAAATGATGGTATGTCTTATACTTTCCATAACGTAAAGCATTTTCCTTAAGTAGTGTTGGAGTCGAGAGTCTCCTTCTATCATTTGGAATGTGAATTATAAGATATTGAAGGATTCCATATCTTATTCCGAAATGTAACAATATGTGCATTACTTGGTAACTTATCCTAAATATCCAGTGGGTGAATGGCCAATGTGTTTACACACAGGGACTTTTGGGCCTGTTTCCCTTGGAGTTTATGTAGGATGGATTGTCAACAAATATACATGATTTATATAATTGTAAATATTATATTCAAGAGTTAAAAATTATTTATTGCACGAGCTAAATTATAGTAGTCTCCCCTACACTGTTTAAATAGGCCTAGTCTGATGTCCAATATCAATAATTGGCATTTTAAGAATATAATTATGTTAACAGAGAAAACAAAGAAGAGTTCCTGTCTGTGAACACTATTACAGCTCCTGCACACAATACTATATAGGAGTGCTTGACAAACAAGACAATCTCACTTATACATTTTCAAATTTTACTAATCATTGAACTGTATAATCTTTCCAAACACCGATTACTGATAAGAACCTTCTTTGTTTGTAATGGACTCCGAAACTTTTTTTTTTTTTTTTTTACAAATTTATAACAATGCAATTACATTACAATTCATTCATTAAATATTCATTTATAATAAACTGCATATTTCAAGGTACATTGTATAATTAATAATTAATTATGTTTATGTCCAATTAAATTAGAGCTAAATTATGTCTGGTATATAAAAGCATTGTTTAGAAGTGATAGAAAAGAGGTTAGAGCAGGTCCTAGAGGTTTAAAAGGGAAAGTAAGACTAAGAGAGAGAGAAAAAAAAAAAAAAAAAAAAGAAGGGGGGGGGGGGGGGGGGGGGGGGGTGGAGATTGAGAAACAAAGAAGCTATATAGATGTGTCGGAAAGTTCAAGGAGTTTTACATATAAGTATTTGGAAGTTGAATATCAATAAAAATAATTCACTTTTATTAAAATCAATATATCCCCGAGTAAAATATGTGTCCTTGATTGGACTCCGAAACTTGACAGGAATCCATATAAACAACTTTTTGATTGCCAGCTGTACTAGTTGCTCAACAAATCCACCATCGGTAATTTCCGTTACTATTCTTAGTACCATAAAACCAGGGTTACAGCCATATTGTGGCATTGTATACTCAAGAAGTAGAATTAATATAATGTGGATTTTGAAGAATTTGAAGACCTTTTGATCAAAAAGTTTTCTTCATCAGACTGTTTGTTTTCCCACTCTTTAACCTACCACACCTCATGTCAAACAGTAGAAATACCTCCGTTCTCTAATCATATGACTTTTCTGTCCCAAATTGGCGAACGTCGATCTAAAAAAAATGGTTGCCAACAATGTTTGAAGCATATGTTTTTAATTCACAACAAAGGCCGTAATGAAAAAGAATGTAAATGAAACCACGAGAATGGTTGAATTCTTTGTTAACAAGGTCTCTGTTGACAAGGTCTTTGTTGACAAGGTCTTTGTTGACAAGGTCTTTGTTGACAAGGTCTTTGTTGACAAGGTCTCTGTTGACAAGGTCTTTGTTGACAAGGTCTCTGTTGACAAGGTCTTTGTTGACAAGGTCTCTCTTGACAAGGTCTTTGTTGACAAGGTCTTTGTTGACAAGGTCTTTGTTGACAAGGTCTCTGTTGACAAGGTCTTTGTTGACAAGGTCTCTGTTGACAAGGTCTTTGTTGACACGGTCTCTGTTGACAAGGTCTTTGTTGACAAGGTCTCTGTTGACAAGGTCTTTGTTGACAAGGTCTCTGTTGACAAGGTCTTTGTTGACAAGGTCTCTGTTGACAAGGTCTTTGTTGACAAGGTCTCTGTTGACAAGGTCTTTGTTGACAAGGTCTCTGTTGACAAGGTCTTTGTTGACAAGGTCTCTGTTGACAAGGTCTTTGTTGACAAGGTCTCTGTTGACAAGGTCTTTGTTGACAAGGTCTCTGTTGACAAGGTCTTTGTTGACAAGGTCTCTGCTGACAAGGTCTCTGTTGAGTTCGGTGGCAAGATTCTCCAGTAGGTGTAAGGTATTCATACGGGAACAAAATGTGAACTTGAAACCACGGACACAGCAGGCCCTTCTCTTAAGCTGTTACCTCCATCTTTATATTTCAACATAACCATCAGGGACATCTTGTTACTCTCAATATAATGATTTCTGTTATAGTTGGCGACTGTTGACAGACGAGCTTACAAAGTGTTTCCAACGACACGGTTAATGAAGAATATAAGCCAGTTTATTATATATGTTTCGGTCCTATGAACGTTTTTATTAGAATCGTGACACTGCCTCGCTGTTTGGTTGTTCCGCCCCAGCTCTCGCTATGAGGACCTGACTTCACTTAGGTTTGACCGATGTTTACATGGAGGGTGTTGTTGATGAAGCAGAAAATGCTTATTATGTTTATTTTTGCTTACTTGACTAGGCTTTTAAATGAGCAGATATAATCCAGCTACGGGTGGAATACAACAAATATCGCTAGGTGGCTAAGGGCCGGTGGTTACTAAAGTCTCTTCTGGAGTGTACAGTGTCAAAATACAACTGTTACCGTGATTTAAGGATGGTGGTGAAAGTCGTTGATAATGATTTGGTTGAAATATCTGTTGCCATTTATATAAACAAATGACATGTGGACACCCACACAGCTAGATAATCCGCGGCCGTACGCTGGCCTGTAGACCCGATTCCGATCACTGTCCATAACAAGAGCAGATAAAACATACTGTATTAACATTTTTGCTTTTTAGTTGAGGGCACATCAATAGGTTAAGATTTTCCATAGAAAAGGTTGCTGAAGTTAAGGCATGGATCTTTTTTCTCAACTCGAGCAATGCTTATTATGGAAAAGTTACGTTGGTGAAAGTTGAGTAACATAAGTGAATATTTTGCCTGAGTCTATCATAAATATTAAAGCTTGGTCTACAGAATAATTTGAGCGTTTGGTTGAACTCTTATGAAAATTTGATGCCAAGAAGCCTCCACCCAACCTCTTTAACACACTAGAGGAATCTGGTCTTCAACGCGCGAGATTATGTGTTAATTCAATACTTGGTTTGAGTTGACTCCCCTCTATCGAAATGCAATACGTTGCTGCGTCTTTCAGCATTCCACTAGAGAAAACATTCGTGAAATCAATGCTGTTCACTTCATTTACATTTTCATCGATATATGAGGTTGTAACAGGTACAATCTGTCTTCAT